CTCTCATCATAGCGGGAAGCCACACCACGCGTACGATTATCATATCCCGCCAACAAATCTCAAAGGAACTTCGAAAATTGACCAACCACGAATTATGATGCACAACACGACTCCCGCCAACCCCCTATCCCTCCCATACAGGAATTGAGGGACATCGAGGCCCGCACCAATTGTCTTGGCGGATAAATTATAGTGTATAATAGTACCAACCCGACGGGGGACAACAAAGAACGAAAGCACATCCCACACAACTCCATCCCGGCAGGACAGAAAGCAAGAAAGAAAAATTGATAAAATCTAAAAAGTTATATCCTGGGTAATCCATCCCTAGGTTTTCACTCACACTCCCTTCTTTCTAATAAATCCCCTCGAATTTTCCCCAATTTTATTCCGCTCGGACCGAACAATGCCTAACGTATCAGGTCCTTCATCCCAGTCCCGGAGGATAGGTGGTTCACAGATCTCAACGAGTCAGACACCACCGTGATGGCCTACAACCCATCATCACATCACCACTATCAGGGCAAACCGGCCCTCCTGCCCACCACGAGCTTAGCTTGATATCCGTGAAGGGGATCCGAGTATCACGCCGGACACCAGCAGCGAGATCCAATACTCCCAGAGGGCTGATCTCGCGCCATGTCGGAAAAATGCTGGTCCTTCTCAGGAGCTTTCGTCTCGGGATCCTGAGATTACAGTGCTGGCGCTGGATTTCAAGGGTTTTCACAGCACCTTACCGGCATTTCGGGATGAGGTTAGGTCCTTGGTTGTCGCTACCAGTGTTCTCAACCGTCCTGGGCGCCCTACAGGGCCCTGGCGGGCTTGCAGTCCCGGGCGTCCCGGGCAGGGTGGGTAAGGACGGCAGGGCATGGCGTCCGTCTTTGATAAAGACCGCCGTTCGAAGGGTTGACGCCCGGGCCCGGGAGTCTTAATACGTACAAATGGCATCTTCCGGCCGTCCTCACCGGGGACCGGCCGTCATTCGCAGAACCCGACCGTCATTCGTAGAGCCCGGGCGTCATCTGCAGCGCCCAGGCATCATTTGCAGCGCCCGGGCATCATCTGTAGGGCCCGGGCGTCATTCACAGGGCCTGGCCGTCATCTGCAGGGCCCGGGCGTCATCTGTAGGGCCCGGCTCTCATCCGCAGGGCCATTTGCAGGTGAGACACCTATAGGGCCCGGCCGGCCGTCCGGGTAGTGGTTAGGACGGACCACAGGATAGGTGTCCGTCCAGGGCAGAGTTCCAGAAACCGGTGTCCGTCCCGTCCGAAGCCAAGGACGGACGGACTGGACGCTTGGGAACACTGACTCGCTACAGGTATGATATAATGATATCGTTCTTCTTGGGTTACACAGAGCAAGGGTTGGAGGGTTCGTGGGCTGCGGGAGATCACCGTGCCTCACCGGTATTCGAGGACCAGTACGAGTAGAGTATCATACCGGCACCGGTATCACACCGCAACTGCAAAGCATCATGCTGCAACCCTTCCACAAAAATACATTATCTGGAGTAGGGAACATGGTTCGCCCGAATCTTGGCAACCTTCAACTCACGTGTCCGATCGAACCTTCACAAGTTTGCTTGCCCCTTTCGGCCGGGTGCGACCACCCCTATCACCCCCACATGTCACAATAAACCGACCTAGGCCTGAAGTTCAACGGAAACATAAAATCTCTATCGCCCAGAGTAACAACTAGAACCCATTTCTACCATTGCCGAATGGTACGAGAATGAGAATAAAGCAAACCAACAATTCCTCAACCCAGCTCTACACCACCATTACTGCTTCAACCGGATAATATTCAACCCATCAAAAGCTGGCAACATAACCTGCTCCAACCGTTCGTCATCCCTCACAAACTTGTTGAACTCATCACAGTGCTTATAACTCATGATGCTGGACGTGTCCAAGTTCACTGCATGCGGGTTCCTGTCCGTGGTATCCGCGACGAGCCCGCGCTTGAGGGCGTTATCGGCAATCAAGACGCCTCGGGGGGATAGGAGGTTCCTGGAGAGGACAGTTTTGATGGCGGGGGTGTAACCGTTCTTGTTGGCGTCGAGGAAGATTATATCAAATTGGTCCGCTGGGAGAGACTGTAGGCTCTCGACGCCGTCACCCTCAAGGAAGGTTACGAGTGTGTCCGAGAATCCGGCCTCGAGAAGGGTCGCCTTAGCAAGTTCGGTGTGGGGGCCGGGTATGTCACAGCATACGAGCTTGTATTCGTCAGCTCCGATCCCTGATAATATACGTGGGGAGGAGAGGAGGGGGAGGAGTTAATTACTTTGGCACCCTCCTGCCCTTTGATGGCTTCTGCCCAGGCCAAGGCCGAATACCCGGTAAAAGTTCCAACCTCGAGCACCTTCTTAGCCCCAATCAACTTTGCAAAAAATAACATAAATTGCGCCTTCCCGCCCCCCAAATTAGTGCCCTATCTACCAAGCCATGGGAAAGGGGCATACCTGGAGCGTATTAACCATCATCGTAGGATCCATTCCAGCTTTTTCCGAAAATTCTATAGTCTTTTCACGGTGCTGGCCCATGACATCCGGCAAGGGGGTGGAATGGGCAATGGAGTATTCGTGCACGGCTTGGGTGACATGAGCGTTTGGATAGAGGTCTGTTGCGGAGTACATCTTCGCTTAGGATTCGGGGGGGTTCGAGAGGCGTGCAGAGGTCTGTCTCTTTTTCTCCTTTATGAGAGTTGGGATTGATTGATGGGCAGGGAAGTGAAGTGGGAGGGGAGGGAGGAGGAGGAGGGGTGTTTATGAAGAGCTCGTAGTGGGCTGACGTCTGCGGACACGACTGCTTTGCATAATCCAAAATTCTTGCCTCCCTGCCCGGATCCAGATGGCACGGTATGCATTGGGAGCCGGTCTCACAAACGTCGCCATACTACGGTGCGGGTGGCGTATGTACCTGATGCTTTCCTAATCTTGGACAGCTTAGAGAAGATAATTTACCGATAGAAGAAACGTGGGCAGAAGACGGACAGGAAACCCCCTCCCCTTCCTTCATGACTAGTTCTCCAAAGCCTCACGGTCGTCACAAACCTAACTTTACCATAAAGGGTGTGTGGGTGCCTTGTGTGCAGAGTGCTCACCCCCACCTCTCCAGGCCATGAACCAGGGAAACAAGAAACCGAGGAACGGATAGGGAACCCCGTTCGAGATTTTTTCCTTTTGCCCTTTGCTTTCCCCTCCATTCACCACTTATTGCGCAGGATACGGTGCGGCCTGGGAGAACTCGGTGTGATCCGATGGTATGCAGCCTGGGACCGTTTCCAAGCGCAGGTGTGGGGCCCCTCTACTTGTTCGAGAGGCGAGTTTACCGTAGGTCACTTGTGGCCCGTGGAAAAAAATTGTCCGGAGCCCTCTAAATTATAATCCGATTCATACAAGTACCATACTCAAGGCGCCGGTTTGCTCTGCCAGTTCCTATTACGGAATCGCTCATCCTCGGGAATCCTAGCCAATAAAACGCAGTATGGAACAATGATTGCAACCATACTAAGAAAACTCTGAACCTCAAGAACCTGGATGACATTCACCTCCGTTCGCTTGAAACAACGAAAGGTGATGGTGAGCTATGCCAGCAGAAGGGAATCGTCACATTTAAATGGCCATCGAGATCACCAGATCTTAGCCAAATTGAGTGACTATGGGATGATTGTAAAGATGAGATTGCCGCTTACCAATTTACTGGTACTAGTCAGGAAATGGTTGAGCAAGCAAAGGCTATATTGGTTGAGGTTTGGAGACAGTTTCCACAGGAATTGATCGATAGGCATTGTCAAAGCTTTCATGAAAAGCTTAATAGATGTATCATTCATCATGGTAATAATAAATTTAATGGATAGTATTTTATATTTGTTTTAAGTTTGTTCCTTTCACGCACTCCTAGCAGCTAAATTAAAGGGGCCGGGGATGCTTTATGTAGGGATTGTTACTGCGGCTACAGGAAAACTGGCGACTCAGTAGTCAATGTTACAGCTTTGTTTTAAGGTGTCCATACGCTTTAGCTAGTGTTGGGCCGGAGGCACTTTGGTATCTTGTATAGGCCAAAACATCCGAGGATGAGCGATTCCAGAATAGGAACTGGCAGAGCAAACCGGCGCCGTGAGTACTTGGCAATGCAACAGGTATCCGGAAATCTTGGCATTTATCCTTTGACAGCAACTTGCGCCAAGATTTTCGGGTACTACACCAGACTATCGTACAAACACAGTACGATACCACTGACGGTATTCCCGATCCTCCGATAATACCAGGGTTTGAAATATAGACTAGTAATACGGCTGAAGAGTGGTCGATGGATGGCATGGAGTAAGCTAGCGGAGGGAAAGGGCAACTTTATTCACCCGTGCCAGTTAGCGGAGCGGAGGGGTCGCCGAGGAATCCTCCCCCCCACCTCCTCTCCCTACTCTTACCCGTATCATACTCACAATTTTCTGATGCTTATTAGCACGGCCGCTGGCCATTGCACCCCATCAAGATCTTGAGGCTCCAATCAACTCTTCACCTTGTGGGGCGCTGCGCATGCTGCTTCGTCATGTCTCAATTGAGAGCTGAGTTTCGGTGCCTTCTGTGGAATATCCCGGTAGCAGCTGTGTTCACGGACGTTAGGATGCCACTGGTAGATACTGTAAGCGACCTTTTTATAGGTTGCTGGGCCGGGCTGAACCAGACTGGGCTCCTTGCTTGCTTGCTGCCCCTCATTGGATCAACGGACCCTGGTCCACTGTACCCGAGCACTTATGCTATGATACTGTGCTGCTGGTACAGTCCAGACACTCAAATACAGTGTGAAAACCGGGATAAGTGTGAATCTTGCTAGCATGTTGGAGTTGCCTCTCCTGGCAAGGCCTCGTCGTTACTCGTACCGTATTATCTTCTGTTATCCGGAAATTCGCCAAGACCGGGCGTTGCTTAAGGTTGGACGGTGCATGAAATCAGAAATCGGCTCCTTCAATACGGTACATGCAGTTAACATAGCAACTATGGAGTGGTTTTAGGTGTTTATAACAGTGCGGCTGAGGGTGTCCCAATCACTCATTTACAAGGGTTGGGATGGTGATCAGACAAAAGTCATGCACTTAGTATTGGATTGATGGACATCTACTTGTAAAACCAGCCAGTGGTTACCATGTTAAGTGGCAGTCGCATGAAGAAAATTGTAGGACATCAGGTCTTGGCACTCCCGAAAATTTTCACAATGTCAAACATATTATATTGTGAGAAAAACACAGGGCTGCCAGAACCAAAGAGGAAGAAACCAAATAAGAATACAGTTAAGGACTATAAACTACCAATAAGTAGGACCTTCATGGTTTCTTAGTAGAGCAGTAATCTGCCCCTGTATTTCATCTATCCACTGATAGATCCTATACTAGGGCAACTCCTCCTAGATCTTTTGTGCTAATTTTATAGTAACCTTATCATGACCATACTAGTATTCTTATTCTCAAAGGTCAGCCTATATTACTTGCTATAGACTTATTCACTACCTACAAAATGGAAGAGGTTTTAGATATACTACAAGCTAATGATATTTCAGGTAATGTGATAACAGAAGGTTGTACTAGATTGGTGCAACCTCTTGACATATCAATCAATTGTCTATTTAAGAACATCTTAAAAGTAGGAAAATAGGACCTATCTTTTAAATAGGTGGCAAACAAATAGGGGTCCGTGGTAATGAACTAATTAAAGGTAAGCCAGTAATAGGCTATGAAACAAAACAATACCAAGTACTTATCATACTAAAATGATTGTACAAGTAGGAGTCAGAAAACTCTTCTCTATTCTCTCTTTTACTTACATATACTCTCTCATCCTCTAACTAACTATTGTGCATACAACTAACTAATATTTACTAGTAACAGAAAAGACAGGAGTATAAATTACAACTACTAGTACAATATAGACCAAAATGACAAACTGTAACCGGAACTGGAGTTCAGTCCGTTCAGTTCAGGGATTTGTTTTTAGTTTTGTTTTACTTGTGGTTTCAAGTATCCTTTGATACACAGTTTGTTTTACTTGTAGTTTTGAGTATCCTTTGATACTCAGTTTGTTTTACTTGTGGTTTTGAGTATGCTTTGATACTCAGTTTGTTTTACTTGTAGTTTCAAGTATCCTTTGATACTCAGTTTGTTTTACTTGTAGTTTCAAGTATCCCTTGATACTCAGTTTGTTTTACTTGTGGTTTGAAGTAAGGAATGCTTGGGAGATTGCCGATGCAGGACATGGATGGATTTTGTATTTAAAAGACTGCTGATTTCTTCAAAGGAATGGCAGACTTCGATGGACAAAGTATTTCTAATATACTTGGTTGAATGGTTACCTCTTCAAGTCCCTATTCTTTATATCTTTCTCTTGGAGCCTCCCTTAGCGCAGTATGCCCATAGGTTGTAGATCAACTTGTACACTACTCCTATTGTACCCAGAAGCGTGACTAGCACCCCGGTGCGAACACGTTACACAAACCAAATTGTCTGGCCCCCATCCTCTCAGGACTGTCTCCCACATATAAGTAAACAAAAAAAGTTAATAAAGAAAAGACAAACTTGTACTTCCTTACTGTGTATTCTTCTGCTACACTCCTTTCTACCATGTTTCTTTCTACTGTACTCCACTACCATGTACTTTTCCATCATGCTCCCCACTGAGCTCTCTAGCTGTGCACTACTGCTGCCATCCCCTACCATAGTATACTCTTGCTATGCACTTTAACTATACTGCAGAAGTGCTCTTCCAAAAACCAAACAAACAAATATACAAATAAGTAAACAAAAGAGAAAGAGGGAGAAGAGGAACATTGAGGAATAGAGGAATAGGAGAATAGAAAGGAAAGGAAATAAGGGAAGTAGAAGAAAGTAAGCATACTAAGCAGCACTGATATCTCACTATTTTCAACACTACCTGAGACTTATTTTTTTTTTTAAATTTAAAAACTAATTTTATTATAGCAAGGGTTAAATACTAGACTAGATACTATAGATAAGGAGTAAGAGGAGGAGATCTTACTAGGAGGAGGGAAACTTGCTAGAAGTATTGTTAGAAGCCCAAGCTGCTCCTCACACCTGCCCAGTACATTCTTCTCAGACTTCCTCCCCTCATTCCCTTTTCCCACCTCTTCTCCATTTCCTATCTCCTCCCCCTCCTTCCCTCATTGCATAGTTTGCTTTATTCTTTGTTTTCGGTAAAGTGTCCTCTGAAGCACTAGAGACTCAGAGAGAGCACTGAAGTACAGAAAAGTATGGGAAAGTACATGCCAGAGAAGTATAGAAAGGAGTACAGGAAAGTACAGGCCGGAGGAGTGCAGGACAGAGCTCAGGAAAGGACATGCTGGAGGAGTACAAGAAAGTGTGGCTGAGAAGTAGGAGAGTACAGGAAAAAGGGAAGAGCACAGTAAAAGGGGAGAGAGCAGGAGTGTGCAGGGAAAAGGAGTGCTGAAAAGTATGGCAAAGGGTACATGGCAGAAGCACAAGTTTGTCTTTCTATTCTTTGTTAGTTTTTCATGTTTGCTTTTATAGAGGACGTACCTGTATAGAGGGGGAGGCCTGAGTTTGTCTCTCCTTTATTAGTTTGTATGTTTGCTTAAGAGATTGGACAGGAGGATGTACCTGGGGGGG